ACTTAAATCTACTTTCGACGTAATAACTGGATTCTATTCTGACTCTGGGCTAGAGGATGCGAGTAAAGTGTAAAATAACTCAAATGCCTGGAAATAATGCTGTAAACAGGTTTTGGGGACATTTCAGGAAGATCTGGGTCAATGAATCAAATATAATAAAAAATTGATTTGTGTTAACTTATGGCATTGGAAAAGTTTTCTTCCTGAGAGAAGGAAAGGGACTTACGACACTGTAAATTTTTGGTTATACGAACAATTAGAAGAACAAAATCTTTTGAAACAAAATCTCACGAACTTGACCTTTGATGTTGTTCTTGTAAAACAACATTGCTAGAAGATTCCATTATTTATGTTTCTTGAGATCGCACTATTCACTAGCATGTGGTTGAAGTATGCATTTAATGTGTCTTAGATTCTCACCTAATCTCTGTAATCCTTACTCTACAGTAACTGATTGCCCATATATATGTATGCCATTTGGGACAATTTGAATGAAACGAAGCCTAAAATCACAATCCACGATTACACTTGGGATGTAGGAACTTTACTCGGGCAATTACCGTATAGCAAAGTCAAAAGGAAGTTGAATTCGTAGTGTTTACATAAATTACCAGACGAACACATGTTGTGAGAGCTTTGTCATTTACAGTCAGTTGTGATAGTAAAAAACATTGAACAGTGAATGATCGGTTTTGATGTATGTTGACTTCAAAAGGTGATTGTCTTCAAAATAGTGTTCATTTGGTTGTCACGTCGTCTTGATTTCTGCATGTGAACTACGGACAAAGTTGTTTTAGCCATTCGATCATGTATAATGGAAATGAATTACAAACGCGTCAACGAGATATTAGTCATTTCAATCAGGATGGAAATGTAAGTAAAACAAAAGGTGTATTTTAACATCATGTACGAAGCTTGTACGTATCTTTCGCTACATTTTATGTGTTACATATGTTAAGTCTTTCAAATCTTTTACAATCGGTTTTATTTGGTTCATTCTTTTGCTTTTTGGGCGAACGAAATTACCAGAAATTCCCTCGGTAATTGATAAGAAGTTTAGACAAACAAATTGAAATACCTTTGGGCGATTTCACCCGTAGCCTACAGTACATAATTTTAAATTTTACTCTTGAATGTTTTAATTTTAAATAATTAGGAAAAACAATACTAGCAGTTAATCGTTTTAGGTTATAATCGTAAGTTGGGCTTGCCGTTTATTAATGTAGCATCTGTGTCCTAATGGTATACAGGTCAGTTCATCATTTTCTAAAAGTAAGTATTAACTAAAGCCTAAAGGTAACTTTCTGTGTATTTTTGGAATTGTATCCTTCACGAGCAAAAACGTCTGACATTCAGCAAATTAATTGTAAAATGTTACGGTGTGTTTGAACACCGTAACAAGCATATTGTCTCACTTTTCACGAGAAAGAATTGCATTTTGTATAAAATTGCATAAAATTGTTCGTATTAGTGTTGTAATTCGATGTAACTTATTGTCATTTGTCTATATACTTGTGTTTTGAAGGAATCGTCATCCTCTGATGCATCAATGTCACAACATGTTAAATTACGTTACAAACTATTGATTTTAACATGTTTTGTAATTGCTAATCTGTAGTATCTTTCTTCGTACGAAAGCAAAACGTTTTAATAATATATTGTTGATCTCAGGACATTACACCCCAGCAAAAGTTCGCAATACGTTGCCTCGCATCTTCAGTCTTCGTGTTCGCTGTTTTGATTCATGAGGCTGCATGATCGACTATCATGACACACCTCATTATAAGCTTAGTTCGATGTGACTTCCCCTGTCCAATATTCTTGCTTCCAGGCCCAAATAGACATACCGTGACACAGATCAAAGATGCTGTTCACGATGGTTTACGTGCAGTGAAGAACGCCATCGATGATGGTGCAGTTGTACCTGGAGCCGGTGCATTTGAAATTGCGGTTTACTCTACTCTTATGGAATATAAGAACACAATTAAAGGTCGCGCCAGACTTGGTGTACAGGTTAGTCTACAAATATTTGAATTTCATTTGGTGTACAGGTTGGACTGCAAATGGCTAAATAACACTTCATGTAAATGTTAGTCAAGAAGTACTTGATAACACTTGGTGTTCAGGTTGGTCTACAAATAGTTGAATTACATTTGGTGTACAGGTTGGACTGCAAATAGCTAAATAGCACTTCATGTAAATGTTGGTCAAGAAGTACTTGATAACACTTGGTGTACAGGTTAGTCTACAAATAGTTGAATTACATTTGGTGTACAGGTTGGACTGCAAATAGCTAAATAGCACTTCATGTAAATGTTAGTCAAGAAGTACTTGATAACACTTGGTGTACAGGTTAGTCTACAAATAGTTGAATTACATTTGGTGTACAGGTTGGACTGCAAATAGCTAAATAACACTTCATGTAAATGTTGGTCAAGAAGTACTTGATAACAGTTGGTGTACAGGTTGGTCTACAAATTGTTGGATGAGAAGATTGTTTTGATTCATAACCTATCTTAGTCAGACATCGCGCTCACTTAATGATCAGTTATTTCTACAAAAGAGCTCATTTTGTTTTTAAGCCCGCTTTTAGTTGCTGCTTAATTTTTTTCATCTTACAGGCTTATAAGTATCAATCTATAAGAAGTATAAAGCAGTATCTCGTTAGACTTTGAAAGATATCATTTATTTCTGACTAAAAAATCTTTCAATTGATATTTTAATAGGCATTTGCCGACGCCTTCCTCATAGTTCCGAAAATACTCGCTCAAAATTCTGGTCACGATCCGCAAGAAGTTATTGTTAAACTGCAGGTACGATAAACATTGCGATTGTCAGTATTTGGTAATCGATACTGCATACTCAATGCGAACTTTTTTTATCAAAATTGTTTCATTAAATAGAAAAAAGTTAAACTGCTTTTGCTTTTAACGATCGACTTCTTAAACTGTTTTAAAACGTTTAGGCTTTAGTCAAGTTACTCCTTTTCATTGGCTTTACGAAAATTTTATGGACGAAGCAAAAATATTCTTTTTTCACGTAAAAGCGATTTGTGAATATGGGCAAAATATTTCCATTCAACTCTTGTAAAAATATTTTTTGTGAAGCAAATGTTTTTTAGTGCAAAGTTGATAGGCAAGAAAAAGATATATGCTTGACTACATTCAATTTTTAATACATGATACGTGAAACAGTAAATGAGAAAGATATAAAGCAATCAAAATGTGTAAAGTAAACTTAAATGGTCAAAACAAGGCAGAGGTTGTTTAAAACATAGCACTTTCTTTCAATATTACAGTTCATTTTATGAGAAGATGCAAAAATACAAATTTCGAAAGCAAAAAACCAAACCATGTGTTCGATCAATGCTTCCCGATACCCTTGGGCAACACTTTCACAAATTAATGACACTAGAACGTCGCTAAAAAACGGAAAAGTTGTTTGAAAGGTTTCAGTATGTTTTATGTTATAGTTCATTTTATGAGAACTCTTGTAAACAAAAACATAAAATTCAAAAGCAAAAAATCCCATTTTCGGTCCATGCTTCCCGATACCTTCTTAAGCGTAAGGCACTAGAACGCCGCATGTTAGGGTTTCGGTAGGAGATTTCGACCCCTCCATGCTATCCTACTTGGGAGATGCAATAGCAAGCTTCCGTCCATTGGACCCCGAGATCACCTGCGATAGGCTTTGCTCGGAGAACATTTATCAGATTGGGTAAAAGAAAAATAGCCAATACACAACCATAGACACTACAATGTAGACAAATAATCTCGTTTGTTGTAAACCGTGGACAAAAAGACAACAATTGCTCACTTCAAAAAAACATTGTTTTACTATTTTCTTTATTACCTCAGGAAGAATACTCAGATATTGGTAAACCTGTTGGCGTGGACTTGAGTTCTGGCGAGGCCTTCATTCCAGCAGATCTTGGTATATGGAATAATTATAACGTCAAACGACAGCTGTTGCATTCTTGGTCAGTTTTGTTTTTCTGTTCATTAAACTTTAAAGCAACCACTTAAGAAGCCTCATTTATTTTTTAAAACTTCAACAAATAGGAGATACGTGTCTTGATTTCATAGTTATTACCCTCCAAGATAATGACTCGGAATGCAATTCGGTTAATTCTGATCACACAGCCTCGTTGTATTGCTGGAAATTTAAAGTATTCTATAATTATTTTTTAAAGCACTGTGATTGCAACTAACCTACTTTTGGTTGATGAGATCATGAAAGCTGGGATGTCGTCTTTGAAGGGTTAGAAGGAGATCGTAGTGGACTTTTAGGACAATGGAAAGATAAGAACTTCTTTGTTTTCTCAATAAATCCGATTTTGATGAACCTGATAATTTTTGATGTCCCTATAGGTCTAGTAAATGTTCGTAGTAGCTACTTGTGTTTTGAATTACTACAATTGTTCCCTTTTTCCCAATGATCTTTAACTTTCTTAATTATTCTTGCATTGCAACCAATCTCCACGGAATTGTGAAACAATGTGACCCACCCACGTCGGCTTGTGCCAACAATGGCATTGATAAAATGTTCTTTTGTATTTGACCACTAACATGGCTGCTGTGACGTAACATGCAACCCGCCTATTGAAATATAATCACGACATCACGTGCTGCTTGATGTTAGAATTGTAACTATTTTCAGTGGATCTATAAAAAAATACCCTCCATAAAATCTTTCTTTTTGTTGCGACATCTCTGGAATATCAATTGCAAAACGAGACCCAGTCATTTTCCCTTATTTTCGGAAGGTTATAATTATTCTGCATTTCGCTCAATTAGATCAATTCCCAGGGGTGTTACAGCTCAGGCTTAGGAGAACAAAAAATTCGATTTCAAAGAGAATAATTATTTATGCACCATGTAAATGCTCCATTAGACTCGTTATGCCCAATGGTATTATCGTCATTATTGAAATCATCAATAATTGTTTACAAAAGATGTGCCAGTTGTGCGATGAATTGTGTTTGTTTTTGTGGAAAATGATTGGGTGCAAAACAACCAATCAAAACTCAAATTTATGTATTGACGTCAATTAATGAAAGCGTCTTATAAACTATCATACGTTTCATACCTCGTGCTAAACTTTTATGTGCTTCGATGAGAAAAGCTTCAGTAATGTAAGTATTAGAACAATTTTTCGTAGTTGTTTTGTGACGAGTTGAGAATGATTTTCTTTCTTGTGTAAATCACAACTAAAAACATTTCATTGAAGCTCGATTCATTTAAAACGAAAGTAACGCGCAATTAGTCGGGTTTATAGTTAGTCTCATTTGTTGGAAACGAAAGAATATTTCACTAGTGTGTTGTCTACGTTATAATTACGATGAATTGAACAGGGCTATCGTGATATGAAAAAGCTGTACTAACTGAAATTTTGGGTGTGAAAAATAAAATGAAATGTTGGTCATTTCGTGAATTAAATAATTTATTCGGTACGAAATAAAGCTGGCCGAATAATTACAGGTGATTGCCATAAATCTGCCTAAGACTTTGTAAGAGCTAAACTCTCTTGGGACACCTTAGAGGCAAGGAAAAAAGCACAATTAGAAAATTTAATGTTACAAATAATAAAAGGTAATACTACAGATTATCTTCGACAGTTTTTCTCAATACGTACTAATGTAAAGTATGATTAGCGAAATGACAATCGCGTTCTCAACTTGCCAAGTGCACATTTCAAAATATGTTTTTTTCAGGTATTTCAAGAGCTGTGTAATTGACCACAATGGTGGTACGATAATTTTGAACGACACAGGAGTCAAGCTGATTGTACCTCAAGATGCCATTAATGTTGGTGATTCTAAGACTGTTTACATTGGTTTATTGGATAACGAAGAATACAAACCAAAAAATTTAAAGGATGGAGAAAGTTTGCTTTCTCATGTTGTTGCTTGTGGTCCTCGTGGGTTTATTTTCAACCTTCCCGTCATGCTTGTATTACCTCACAGTGTTGTTAAGTTTGATGACGATAACATGAAGGAGGATTTTAGAGGTTTAAATAACATTTCCTTAAAAATTTGTTCGGTAGGCTATGTTTTGGAAGTAGCTACAGTGTGAATATTTTTAGTCACAACCAGAGCGTTTAATGTAATTATTTTGAAAATCAGTTCTCTTTTTTGATAATGGACAATCACGGACATTGGAATATTATTTACCCCTTTTAAGCTGTAATTTACCACGTGGAAATGTTGCACAAAATTCCTTTTCTGATATTTCCTAATTTTTCTTCATTTCTACATAGTCCTGTGTAGCCATACATCCCCATGTGATCCTCCAGATTGGAAAGATGTTTTCAATAACAAGAAAGAGACAAAGAATGATGACATATTCTGTTCCATGGGAAGCAGTTATTTCAAACTTTATGTGAACCATTTTTCGTGGTACACAATTTCCGGTAAAGTAAAGGCTAAAAAGTTCAACGTAGTTGCATATCGCACCTTTCTCCATCAACCCAAAGAAGATTTTACTGTGAGGTTGTACCTCGTTCCAAGTCTTTCAGGTTCATTGGTAGCGCAGAAGGTAAATATTAACAATAACTAAATGCTGTTGTTCTTCACCCTAGGAGACAGAGGGAGTATCTAAATGCTGTTGTGTTTTTACACGTACAACGTTTTCTATTTTGCATTAGAAAATTGAAAGCGACGAAGAAAAGTTGAAAGAGGCTCTATGTGACGGTACTAAGCTGATGATTTTTTATAAGAAAGGTGGTAATCTCACAATTGATGTTCGTGACTTAACTGAAGGATGGAAATCATCACGTGGTATTACACAAGTAAGGTTTTCAGTTCTGAAAAGATTTTACAAAATAAAACAAATTCCGAAGAGGGACATCTCGTTTTCTTGATATTCAAGATATTACAAGAGTTTGAAACAAAATAATGCGTAATATTTCGTCTTTATTCCAAATACATCATCAGACTTATGGTTTACAATGCAGGCTGCGAAACGTTTATATATTTACAAGCGGAAATGACAGTTATGTAATTAGAGAACTATAAGACTAAACAATATACTTACATTAAAATGGAGATAGTTTCTTACAAGCCTTAAGACCACTATTAAGTTGTGGCATATCGCGTTTTATCAAAAGTGCTTCTAAGATGAGAAGTTGATTAGAATTATTATTTTTACAGTGATAGAAGATTTTGGTGTTACTAGGTATCAAATTACAAGGATTAAGTGGCACGCGTGTGAGATCGGGGTCGGAATCAGCGTCAGGAAGTGAGAAAAGGTGTGAGATGTAGTTGGCGTCTGGACAAATGAGTAAATGTTGTGAGATGGCACTAGAATTATTGTAATTAGTAGCATGTTGGATTAGTCTTGTGTGTAGGTTTCGTTCAGTTTTGCCAATGTATGTATGACTACAGCCTGGACATTTAAATTCATATATAACATTGGCTTTAGAGAGTTCCGGAATTTTGTCCTTTTTGGGACAGAAAATTGTTGTCTTTTTTGTTTCATATATAACTATAGGTTTGATGGGAATTTTTAAGCTACGGCGAATTTTACGAAGAAGATTGAAAACCAAACGTTCACCCTGTTTGCCTAGATCTGGTATTCTCATGAAAATTTTACGAAGGTCATTCTCAGTATTTTGTTTAGAGGGATTATTTTTAGCTATGATTTTGGTTTTGAGTTTACGAATCAAGAATTTCCGGACTGTAAGAGGGAAACCATTCCATGACATAAAAGACTGGAGTGTTGAATTTGTTTTTTGAATAATGTTTGGTTAGAACAAATCTTAAATGCGCGAAAAAATAGGGAATTGATCCAAGTAGTTTGGCGGTTGAAAGGTTCGAAACTTGAAAAATGTGTATATTGGCCAGTATGAGTTGTTTTACGGAATATATCAATGTCATTATTGGTTATTTTGAGGTCTAGAAAGTGGACATGTGAGTCAGAAAAATCATCAAAAGTAAATTTAAGATTTTTATCAAAACTATTAAATTTGGCAAGAACATGAGGAATGTCAGAATGTCGCATAAGAACAAGAGTATCATCAACATAACGTCGGTAAAACTTAAGGACACCTGAGTTGATCAAATCAGTGACAATAATGTTTTCAAACTCAGTGAGAATTATATTGGCTAAGACGGGACCGAGAGAAGACGCCATGGAAACCCGTCAAGTTCATAAAAAATACCGTTGCAAGAAAATATAGTTTTGTTGCATGAATCAATAATAAGTTTTTTCACTGTTGATTTTCGGAGTGTGGTATTAATAATATTTTGTTTGTAAATGCGATCCAGTACAATGTTGATGGTTTTACGCAAAGGCACGTTGGTGAAAAGGGATTCAACATCAAAAGAGACAAACTTATAACCTTGGGAAAATAGATCTTTAGGTATAGATTTAATAACATCAGAAGCATCGAAAGAGTCTTGTAATGAAAATTTATTTAGGGTGAGTGGATTCAAAAGGTTTGCAATGAATTTGCCTACGTTGTAGTGTGGTGTGTTTGTGGTGTCAATTATTGGTCGTAACTTAGGTAATGTGTCAAATTGTTTGTGCGTTTTAGGTAGTCCATGTGCTCAGGCAAAGTGCGCGTGAGTAGGTCGCAATAAAGTATGTTCGGTTTCATTGATCACACCCCGTTTTAGAAGTGTGCATAGATAGGACTGTAGAGTGGAGAGTCTACTAGAAGTAAGGTCGCTTGAAATACGCTTAAATTTACAGGGATTTTCGAACAGAGAATTAAGAGAGTTGACATAATCAGAGCGGTTTAACAAGACAACTCCATTGCCTTTGTCAGGCTTCAGAATGGCGTAGTCACTATTGAGTTTTTTCAGTATACGAATACGTTTACTATCGATATGGAATTGTTCTAAATCTAAATCTAAGTAATTTGATTCCTAGTAACACCAAAATCTTATATCACTGTAAAAATAATAATCCTAATCAACTTCTCATCTTAGAAGCACTTTTGATAAAACGCGATATGCCACAACTTAATAGTGTTCTTGAGGCTTGTAAGAAACTATCTCTATTTTAATGTAAGTATATTGTTTAGTCTTATAGTTCTCTAATTACATAACTGTCATTTCCGCTTGTAAATATATAAACGTTTCGCAGCCTGCATTGTAAACCATAAGTCTGATGTGATGTCTTTGGAATAAAGACGAAATATTACACATTATTTCGTTTCAAACTCTTGTGGTATCTTGAATATCAAGAAAACGAGATGTCCCTCTTCGGAATTTGTTTTATTTTGTATTATTTGAAATTGTCTGCTTGTCCTGGTTAAAAGATTTTACATGTACATTGATTTTAGAATTTGCTTGCATCTTCATGGTCGCGAAAAGATCTTCTTGTTCTATTTTAGCTAAGCTTGTTTCTTATAGAGCCAGAGTTACAACACCTGCACAGCATGCGAAACGAATGCTCTATGCACTACCTTTCCATTTGAGCAACTGTTTGAGCAGCAACCAGATAGAATCTCGTGTGATTTTATCATAAGACAAGAAAAATGCAAGCATGATTCATCAGTGGCTGTAAATTTGTCAGTAACATTTGAAGCTGAGGTAATATTTTGGCAAAAAATAACAACAAACAGATCATGTATAGAGTTAACTAAAACCTATATAATTATATTGTTGTTATTTTAATTTGCTTTGAAAATATATTTTAAGTGATTTCAGAGTATGTTCATTCAAATGTTTCTTTACTTGTTTTCTCAATAATTATTTCTTCACTAGAGAAAAAGACTTGAAATGAGTAACCAACCAAAACAACAGACGGAAAATGCACAATGTTATGATTCACTGTTCATTTCGTACGATCTTGAGACAAAATTGAAACAAAAGTTAGATCAAAATTCACCAATTCTTCAAAACTGGAAAAACCTTGCTAACCATTTAGGCTTCAATCGAAATGATATAGAACATTTGGCTTCCCTTCAATCTCATCATCCTTTAGTCACTAGTCCCACAGTTTTAGTTCTCAAAGAATGGCAATGCAATGTTGGAATGTCGCCGGTAGATGCTCTGAAACATCTCAAAGAAATCTTTGAGAAAATGGAAAGAAAGGATCTTGGCGACATGATAGAGATGTATCTGGTAAATGAATTTAGCAACCCTTCCATTCCTAGGTCAGTAGAAACTGTCGTTTAGAAATATGCCACTGTATGGCAATGTTGCTATGTACAGCGCAAGTCTTTGAAAATTTAAGACGTCTGTTTGTTTATCATTGTCAGCTACAACCATATGACTTTCTTCTCGCTGGCGAAACATCGTTTTCAACCAATTACGGAAGATAAGGCAATTGAAACGCTTCCATTCTTACAGGCTTGTCGCGAAATCGTTCCTTTTTTTGGTGAGTATCTCAAGTCCAGCTCATATTAAGCCCTTAATTCCCTTTAACGAATTTCCTTAATTTCCTTCTTCTATTGTATTGGCAACCGACATTGTGTTGATGCCACCTCTGAAAGATGCCACAGTAAAGAAAATGGGTGTTCAAACATTGACATTTATAAATCTTGGCCACCCATTTTGCAAACTTTCCAGTCAGGCTAGGAAGCCAAGAAAACATCTTTATTATCAGTTGATGTTACATATTTGCCATAAAATATCATACTTTTTCAATTGTACATTATTGGTACATAATGGTGTCTGAATGGGTATCTTATGGTGCTATGATGTGGGGTATTTGGAGGTAGTCATCCCTACATCTGCACACATAAACTTTTTATGTTCAGTCTGTTGGTGTGCACACACCTTACTTTTAGAGGTGCTTGCAAAGGGGGGGTTGAATTCCCTCAAATATTTTTCATATTAAGGTCTTTATGTATGTAACTAAAAATGCCAGTTATATAAAACAATGGTTAAAATATGTAAATGACATTTTGTGGGTGTTTTGCCCCCCCCCCAAAAAAAACCTTCCAGTGCCAATGCTTATTTTTGAGAAGTCTGCTATCCTCACTCCCTCCTACCCAATTTGATTATCAATAATTAGCTACTATAAGTATCCTGTATAAAACAGACATGTTAAAATCATTGTAAGTGACATATTTTATATCTCATTAACTTCATGGTTTTTGTGGTGTAGCAACAATAGCATATTTTGTGATCAGTTTGTTCTTACAATTTCTGTATTCAACAAATAACTTTTAGATATTCTTGGACCAACAGCATTTGCTCCTGTTAAAAGTGACATCAATGATAACATAGAGGTTTGTAAAATGTCCACTAAACATTCTCAATAAAAAGTCCACCAACATTTTTGATTAAAATAGTTTGGAACAATTCAAATTGTTATTTAATGGCTTTATTTATATTCAATGGAACACAAACACAAAGGCTTTGTCAGAATATTTTAGGGTGCTTGAATAAATAATAAAGAAAAATGCAGAGATGAGAACAGGACAGGACTTCTGCAAAAGTTGTTGAGTTTTTGTGTGTTTCTCACCTTCAAGTCATTTACAAGCACATTTTATTAAAACACTTTTGTTTTCAAATATTATTATTGGGCAGACAAAATGTTGTCTATTTTTCAGTACTACGCAATTTGGAAATGATTTCTCGTTCAAACATGTTTTATGAAAGAATGTTTGTCCAGCAAAGTGCGAAGATCATATCTTCATTTAATTTCAAACATGTTTCTTATTTAAAGCTAATGCTCAGAGAGTACAGAGGAGCTAGATGTTTCATAAATCATTTTTCAAAGCATAATCAGTTTGACAGCCTTTTTGACTGTAAATATGTATGTCTTGAGGATAATTTAGCACTGTTGGTTTTTCTTTTTTACTTAACAGAAATTGTCCAAAAAGTATCAAGAAGATACAGTGAAGTACAAAATTCTTCAAGATATGGCTCGTAGTGAAATGGATGCCGGAACTAAGAAGGCTAAAAAATCATCCACAGATGCTCTTCTCTGGTTGAAAAGGTTTTATTTAGACTATGACATATAAAGTGTTTTTCGAGAAATATAGCAACGTCTTGATTGTTTTCAGAATTATGATCTCATGCATAGAAAATATCCTGAGCTGATTGTTGTCGTTTTATTTGCATTTTACGTAAATGTCATTTAGAAGTTTGGTCGTCGCAACCAGCAAATTTACCGTCGTTTTGTCACAATTACGAGCAAGATTTGTAGTGTCGATCTTGTTTTAAATGATGACGCTTATATAAATCAATGTCACTCGAAATAGACCTTGTTGGGAGAAGGGTATGCAGGCAATGCCCCCTCCAATAATTTATTAAAACTGTGAAAATAAATGCGAATAAAAAAATAATTGAAACTTACTTACGTATTTGGATCACTGCCCTACCCTAAACTTAATAATTAATTGAAACGTACTCATGTATTTGGATCACCGCCTACTCCCAAACTTAATTTGTTTCCAACATCGCTAAGAGATGTTGTTTCTCGATAATTGCAACATGAAATCAGCAAATGTTATTTTTTATGGCTAGATATGAGTTTTTAAACGCGCGTTAAAGATAAACTTATCTAAACGTGATTTAGGAACTGATTGTATGAGACGAGTGATCCCATGCAGCTCAGCTAGCTGTATTGAAAAACGCATGAAATGAAAGACATCAAGTCATAATTCTTTTCTTTAATTCAATATTGAACTCACAGCAAGCAGGAATAATTTCCCTCTTCCTTGACTTCAACGTCAGAAAAGGGAAGACATATAAAATCAATTATTTCAGACACCCATGAGCTCTGAAAAAGTCTTGTCGAGGCTTGTATTAACACGACAACATTAATATGAGAATATCTACTTTTGCATATTCTAGACGGATCTTTGTGCATGTTGCAATTATAAATCTGCACATTCTTATGTTTATTTGTTGAATTTGTTCTCTTTCCTAGTCCATTGATTCACTCTCTCATCGTTGCATACATGTTTTCAGGGCACTTTCATTTATTCTGGTGTTTCTTGAAGAGGTTCTCACTGGAGAACAAGATCTTACCAAGTGTGCGAAAAAGGCATACGAGTCAACTTTGAAGAAATATCATGGATGGATGGTTCAAAGTATATTCTCGGTAAGAAGCCATTCTGTTCTTCCTGGAAATATGAACCTACTGTAAAATTACGAAATGTATCCCTTATTCAGTATTCAACTATTTCAAACAATTTTTGTTATGAGTATTTTAAATTCGAGCAAATACAATTTTTTAACAGTTAGCTATGAAAGCTGTTCCTTATCGAAAAGATTTCATTAAGAAATTGGGGAATGGTCGTGACGAAAATGATGTGTTGACAGAGATGAGGGTATTTGTGAACGAACTTAAATCTACTTTCGACGTAATAACTGGATTCTATTCTGACTCTGGGCTAGAGGATGCGAGTAAAGTGTAAAATAACTCAAATGCCTGGAAATAATGCTGTAAACAGGTTTTGGGGACATTTCAGGAAGATCTGGGTCAATGAATCAAATATAATAAAAAATTGATTTGTGTTAACTTATGGCATTGGAAAAGTTTTCTTCCTGAGAGAAGGAAAGGGACTTACGACACTGTAAATTTTTGGTTATACGAACAATTAGAAGAACAAAAATCTTTTGAAACAAAATCTCACGAACTTGACCTTTGATGTTGTTCTTGTAAAACAACATTGCTAGAAGATTCCATTATTTATGTTTCTTGAGATCGCACTATTCACTAGCATGTGGTTGAAGTATGCATTTAATGTGTCTTAGATTCTCACCTAATCTCTGTAATCCTTACTCCAACTGATTTCCCATTTTTATGTATGCCATTTGGGACAATCTGAATTTGAATGAAACGAAGCCTAAAATCACAATCCACGATTACACTTGGGATGTAGGAACTTTACTCGGGCAATTACCGTATAACAAAGTCAAAAGGAAGTTGAATTCGTAGTGTTTACATAAATTACCAAACGAACACATGTTGTGAGAGCTTTGTCATTTACAGTCAGTTGTGATAGTAAAAAACATTGAACAGTGAATGATCGGTTTTGATGTATGTTGACTTCAAAAGGTGATTGTCTTCAAAATAGTGTTCATTTGGTTGTCACGTCGTCTTGATTTCTGCATGTGAACTACGGACAAAGTTGTTTTAGCCATTCGATCATGTATAATGGAAATGAATTACAAACGCGTCAACGAGATATTAGTCATTTCAATCAGGATGGAAATGTAAGTAAAACAAAAGGTGTATTTTAACATCATGTACGAAGCTTGTACGTATCTTTCGCTACATTTTATGTGTTACATATGTTAAGTCTTTCAAATCTTTTACAATCGGTTTTATTTGGTTCATTCTTTTGCTTTTTGGGCGAACGAAATTACCAGAAATTCCCTCGGTAATTGATAAGAAGTTTAGACAAACAAATTGAAATACCTTTGGGCGATTTCACCCGTAGCCTACAGTACATAATTTTTAAATTTTACTCTTGAATGTTTTTAATTTTAAATAATTAGGAAAAACAATACTAGCAGTTAATCGTTTTAGGTTATAATCGTAAGTTGGGCTTGCCGTTTATTAATGTAGCATCTGTGTCCTAATGGTATACAGGTCAGTTCATCATTTTCTAAAAGTAAGTATTAACTAAAGCCTAAAGGTAACTTTCTGTGTATTTTTGGAATTGTATCCTTCACGAGCAAAAACGTCTGACATTCAGCAAATTAATTGTAAAAATGTTACGGTGTGTTTGAACACCGTAACAAGCATATTGTCTCACTTTTCACGAGAAAGAATTGCATTTTGTATAAAATTGCATAAAATTGTTCGTATTAGTGTTGTAATTCGATGTAACTTATTGTCATTTGTCTATATACTTGTGTTTTGAAGGAATCGTCATCCTCTGATGCATCAATGTCACAACATGTTAAATTACGTTACAAACTATTGATTTTAACATGTTTTGTAATTGCTAATCTGTAGTATCTTTCTTCGTACGAAAGCAAAACGTTTTAATAATATATTGTTGATCTCAGGACATTACACCCCAGCAAAGTTCGCAATACGTTGCCTCGCATCTTCAGTCTTCGTGTTCGCTGTTTTGATTCATGAGGCTGCATGATCGACTATCATGACACACCTCATTATAAGCTTAGTTCGATGTGACTTCCCCTGTCCAATATTCTTGCTTCCAGGCCCAAATAGACATACCGTGACACAGATCAAAGATGCTGTTCACGATGGTTTACGTGCAGTGAAGAACGCCATCGATGATGGTGCAGTTGTACCTGGAGCCGGTGCATTTGAAATTGCGGTTTACTCTACTCTTATGGAATATAAGAACACAATTAAAGGTCGCGCCAGACTTGGTGTACAGGTTAGTCTACAAATATTTGAATTTCATTTGGTGTACAGGTTGGACTGCAAATGGCTAAATAACACTTCATGTAAATGTTAGTCAAGAAGTACTTGATAACACTTGGTGTTCAGGTTGGTCTACAAATAGTTGAATTACATTTGGTGTACAGGTTGGACTGCAAATAGCTAAATAGCACTTCATGTAAATGTTGGTCAAGAAGTACTTGATAACACTTGGTGTACAGGTTAGTCTACAAATAGTTGAATTACATTTGGTGTACAGGTTGGACTGCAAATAGCTAAATAGCACTTCATGTAAATGTTAGTCAAGAAGTACTTGATAACACTTGGTGTACAGGTTAGTCTACAAATAGTTGAATTACATTTGGTGCACAGGTTGGACTGCAAATAGCTAAATAACACTTCATGTAAATGTTGGTCAAGAAGTACTTGATAACAGTTGGTGTACAGGTTGGTCTACAAATTGTTGGATGAGAAGATTGTTTTGATTCATAACCTATCTTAGTCAGACATCGCGCTCACTTAATGATCAGTTATTTCTACAAAAGAGCTCATTTTGTTTTTAAGCCCGCTTTTAGTTGCTGCTTAATTTTTTTCATCTTACAGGCTTATAAGTATCAATCTATAAGAAGTATAAAGCAGTATCTCGTTAGACTTTGAAAGATATCATTTATTTCTGCCTATAAAATCTTTCAATTGATATTTTAATAGGCATTTGCCGACGCCTTCCTCATAGTTCCGAAAATACTCGCTCAAAATTCTGGTCACGATCCGCAAGAAGTTATTGTTAAACTGCAGGTACGATAAACATTGCGATTGTCAGTATTTGGTAATCGATACTGCATACTCAATGCGAACTTTTTTTATCAAAATTGTTTCATTAAATAGAAAAAAGTTAAACTGCTTTTGCTTTTAACGATCGACTTCTTAAACTGTTTTAAAACGTTTAGGCTTTAGTCAAGTTACTCCTTTTCATTGGCTTTACGAAAATTTTATGGACGAAGCAAAATATTCTTTTTCACGTAAAAGCGATTTGTGAATATGGGCAAAATATTTCCATTCAACTCTTGTAAAATATTTTTGTGAAGCAAATGTTTTTAGTGCAAAGTTGATAGGCAAGAAAAAGATATATGCTTGACTACATTCAATTTTTAATACATGATACGTGAAACAGTAAATGAGAAAGATATAAAGCAATCAAAATGTGTAAAGTAAACTTAAATGGTCAAAACAAGGCAGAGGTTGTTTAAAACATAGCACTTTCTTTCAATATTACAGTTCATTTTATGAGAAGATGCAAAAATACAAATTTCGAAAGCAAAAAACCAAACCATGTGTTCGATCAATGCTTCCCGATACCCTTGGGCAACACTTTCACAAATTAATGACACTAGAACGTCGCTAAAAAACGGAAAAGTTGTTTGAAAGGTTTCAGTATGTTTTATGTTATAGTTCATTTTATGAGAACTCTTGTAAACAAAAACATAAAATTCAAAAGCAAAAAATCCCATTTTCGGTCCATGCTTCCCGATACCTTCTTAAGCGTAAGGCACTAGAACGCCGCATGTTAGGGTTTCGGTAGGAGATTTCGACCCCTCCATGCTATCCTACTTGGGAGATGCAATAGCAAGCTTCCGTCCATTGGACCCCGAGATCACCTGCGATAGGCTTTGCTCGGAGAACATTTATCAGATTGGGTAAAAGAAAAATAGCCAATACACAACCATAGACACTACAATGTAGACAAATAATCTCGTTTGTTGTAAACCGTGGACAAAAGACAACAATTGCTCACTTCAAAAAAACATTGTTTTACTATTTTCTTTATTACCTCAGGAAGAATACTCAGATATTGGTAAACCTGTTGGCGTGGACTTGAGTTCTGGCGAGGCCTTCATTCCAGCAGATCTTGGTATATGGGATAATTATAACGTCAAACGACAGCTGTTGCATTCTTGGTCAGTTTTGTTTTTCTGTTCATTAAACTTTAAAGCAACCACTTAAGAAGCCTCATTTATTTTTTAAAACTTCAACAAATAGGAGATACGTGTCTTGATTTCATAGTTATTACCCTCCAAGATAATGACTCGGAATGCACTTCGGTTAATTCTGATCACACAGCCTCGTTGTATTGCTGGAAATTTAAAGTATTCTATAATTATTTTTTAAAGCACTGTGATTGCAACTAACCTACTTTTGGTTGATGAGATCATGAAAGCTGGGATGTCGTCTTTGAAGGGTTAGAAGGAGATCGTAGTGGACTTTTAGGACAATGGAAAGATAAGAACTTCTTTGTTTTCTCAATAAATCCGATTTTGATGAACCTGATAATTTTTGATGTCCCTATAGGTCTAGTAAATGTTCGTAGTAGCTACTTTTTTTTTTTGAATTACTACAATTGCTCCCTTTTTCCCAATGATCTTTAACTTTCTTAATTATTCTTGCATTGCAACCAATCTCCACGGAATTATGAAACAATGTGACCCACCTTCGTCGGCTTGTCCCAAAAATGGCATTGATAAAATGTTCTTTTGTATTTGACCACTAACATGGCTGCTGTGACGTAACATGCAATCCACCTATTGAAATATAATCACGACATCACGTGCTGCTTGGTGTTAGAATTGTAACTATTTTCAGTGGATCTATAAAAAAATACCCTCCATAAAATCTTTCTTTTTGTTGCGACATCTCTGGAAAATCAATTGCAAAACGAGACCCAATCATTTTCCCTTATTTTCGTCGTGATTTGTTATTTGTTATTTGGCGAAAAGTTATAATTATTCTGCATTTCGCTCAATTAGATCAATTCCCAGGGGTGTTACAGCTCAGGCTTAGGAGAACAAAAAATTCGATTTCAAAGAGAATAATTATTTATGCACCATGTAAATTCTCCATTAGACTCGTTATGCCCAATGGTATTATCGTCATTATTGAAATCATCAATAATTGTTTACAAAAGATGTGCCAGTTGTGCGATGAATTGTGTTTGTTTTTGTGGAAAATGATTGGGTGCAGAACAACCAATCAAAACTCAAATTTATGTATTGACGTCAATTAGTGAAAGCGTCTTATAAACTATCATACGTTTCATACCTCGTGCTAAACTTTTATGTGCTTGGATGAGAAAAGCTTCAGTAATGTAAGTATTAGAACAATTTTTCGTAGTTGTTTTGTGACGAGTTGAGAATGATTTTCATTCTTGTGTAAATCACAACTAAAAACATTTCATTGAAGCTCGATTCATTTAAAACGAAGGTAACGCGCAATTAGTCGGGTTTATAGTTAGTCTGATTTGTTGGAAACGAAAGAATATTTCACTAGTGTGTTGTCTACGTTATTATTACGATGAATTGAACAGGGTTATCGTGATATGAAAAAGGTGTACTAACTGAAATTTTGGGTGTGAAAAATAAAATGAAATGTTGGTCATTTCGTGAATTAATTAACTTATTCGGTACGAAATAAAGTTGGCCGAATAATTACAGGTGATTGCCATAAATCTGCCTAAGACTGTAAAAGCTGAACTCTCTTGGGACACCTCAGAGGCAAGGAAAAAAGCACAATTAGAGAATTTAATGTTACAAAAAATAAAAGGTAATACTACAGATTATCTTCGACAGTTTTTCTCAATACATACTAATGAAAAGTATGAATTACGAAATAACAATCGCGTTCTCAACTTGCCAAAATCAAAAACAAATGCTTTAAAACGTAGCTTTGCATATAGAAGTGCAGAAACTTGGAATAACATTTGTAGCCTTTGCCTTATTTCTCAAGAGGATTAATCTTTTGTTCTCTTTTCCTTCGAGATTCAAGAAAAATATATAGACGCATGAAGATTTATTATGTTGGTGAAAAGATAACAAAAAGCAAGTAGGTATGATAATTGACCTGCAACAAAATGCAAGTTTATAAAACACCAACTGGAGCAAATGTTCAAACTTTTATTCTTCTAGTCTATGCAGGAATTATTTATTATACGGAAGATGTTCAGTAAATACCCGATACAATTTCATGTTTCCTTTTTTTTTAGAAAAAAAATTATGTTTGACTCATATTGAAGCACATTTCATGAATTAAGGACTCTTTCATCAATTTTCCAATCATTTCAATTACCCTCACTAGTTATATTCATTGCTCATGTGTCATGGTGATTCATGACCAAGGATGTTTGCGCATAGTTTGGATTCCTTGTGAATATCAGTTGTTTGTACATATAATGATGATGGGCCCCATTGTTATGTGAGCCCACCGAAAGGTGGTCAGCTGACGTTCACATTTAATCCACTCTTCATCAAGCATTCTTTGAGTTATGGTGTAACTGGGGTGTTGAGATGACCTTATTTCTCTCCTTGATGGCTACTCAACTTTGGTGTAAGTACAAAGTGTGTGAATATACACTTTAAACATATATTTGTTTTACAAAATTGCCATTCTTCACTCAACCTACATGCGTAAACATTTCCTGAACTTTTAGGGAAAACTTTACTATGAACATATACTGTCGCTATTATACTGAACTAATGGGTACAGTTGATGATAATGTATGGTTGCATGGATTGTTATGAATTATGGGTACAGACGATGATAACGAACGGTTGCGTGGAGTGTTATGAACCATGAGCACAGATGATGATAATGAATTACTAAACCGGAATTGAATAATCAACGAGAACAGGTGATGTTAGAACGCAAAAGAGGAAAAAATCCTACGTCGAAAGAGCTGGAGATAGCTGAAGAAAATACCAGGTTCCATAGTACATAAGTGTAGTGTAGATTTTAAACTTCACGTTCACAACAGCGCATGCGTCTGAGATGGTTGTGGATGTGAAGTGGATCCTGATGCTCTATTTTTAAACTTTGTGGGTTTTTTTTTTGCATGGAAGATGTCGTTGAAAGTTCGAAAATATTACTTTATTTAACTTTTTTGCATGACAGAATTTGTGATACAAGTCTGTGATGGCCGACTTTCACTCACACCTAAAAGATAACTTCAAAATCGAATACAATATCTAAAAACGGAACATATCTAAACAATAATTTCAAAAGCAACGTACAAAAACGAAAGTAGTCGTTTTGTATTTTAATGTTTAAACGAAACATTTCAAAACAGCGTTTAATATAAAGAAAGTCTCGATCATGTGAGCAGCTTCAGCCTTTTCTCAATACATTACAGGTAAATGTTTGTTCCATTTTTGTATTTCTTTAATAATGCGTGTAATTATAAATTAACAAATGTCGTGTTTCTTATTTTGAATTAAGGTTCAACAAAAACAACAGAAAGGCAAGAACGAATTTTTCACGACCAATATATGAAATCTTGAAGAAGTCAACCACATTACTCAGAACAAAACGCCGTTATAGAGATAAATGGATACTTATAAAATCTAAAATCTTTCGTTTGATTGTTCACGACAGAACATTTTTATAACGCTATTTCGATGATCATTTGGAAAGGACAAATTAGCTTCTTCCGGCTGACTGCTTTTGAAAAGAACAAAATTTTGAAAGGTCTCTGAGTGGAAGTCGGCTGTAATAGGTCATCGTTGAAATTGGTTTATCGACAGTGTCTCGTTGTGCTTTAAGTCACGTAAAGTTCATAGAAGCGTAAGTTAATGTTTGATTAGGTAAAAGCAATGAAATCAAATTTTAAGTTGAATGTCTACGTCTGGGCATGATGAGTCCCAGAGACTGTTGTAGAGCATTGGGATCAACATTCCGGTTGGAAACAGTTTCAAAACTTAACATTCCGGTTGGAAACAGTTTCAAAACTTAACATTCTGGTTGGAAACAGTTTCAAAACTTAACATTCCGGTTGGAAACAGTTTCAAAACTTGACATTCCGGTTGGAAACAGTTTCAAAACTTGACATTCTGGTTGGAAACAGTTTCAAAACTTAACATCCTAAAGTTCCAACAAATTTGCTGTGTTTTCTCAAAAAAAAGTGCAATTTTTTTTATTGGAGGTTTTTCACCGTATTTCACCGGTTTTCCCTTCATTTTTCATTTTCACCCCACAAAAAACAGTGTCAATGTTTGGGCCAAGGATGTAATTTTGAATTGCAATCACTGCCTAATATAAAATACAACATTGCTAAATCTTCAACTAATTTTGTTTTATATTTCGGTTTATTATTTTTCGAAATGACATTCTTCGGTTTCCGGGTTAGATTCCCGTAACACTGTGAATGCAATATGAAAAACATAAGATTTGGAAAATATTTCGTAATTAAATATTATACACGTACTTATTGCGGACCTAGTCTTAATAGAAAAAAATTTATGTTCACGTGTTAGAAGTGTGCTCTTGGTAAGACTATGCATGCGGTGACGTAAACAGAAAAATGTTGAAAAAAGGAAGATGATCTTGCTGATGAGTGATCAGCACAGAAATACCATCAGTTATGACAATTAAATTTAGACTAGACAGACTTATAGACATATGAAGATTGCGCCTGTCTTTACTAATACATTATAAACGAAGAGTGAATTACAGGTGTTATATCCCGTCTTATTGGCAGAAAGACAGTTAATGAATGAAGGGCAAGACAGTAAACGAATATTTAGAGCTCGTTGGCTTTGTGCCAGAAATCGAAATATACACGTATATATAATTTCCACTACGTCATCATTTGCTACGCTCAATGACGCATGCCAAGAGAGGCTCACTACACTTGATTGCTAATATAATAACAATTCACTATGATAAAGGATGGATTATTGATAAAACAAAATGTCACTTCACTTATTTTGATATTCATTTTTAGTCGTGCTTAGACGAGCAATTTTTTACCTGACCAACGTTTATTTAATCGTGTAAACCATGAAAAATAATCTATGTCACAAATAAAATTATCATTTCAAAACTTTTTCTGGTGAAAAGAGTTTGAATGGAGATTTAATAGACGGTCATGTCTATTGCCCCCCCTTTCCACATTTTTAACGTGCCGTTCAAAAACTCACAATTGTACTATCAAAGTTTTAAAATTTCAGCCTGCATTGTGCATCAGAATTTACTTCAGTTTTTCTTCAAGGCTAAATGTTTAAAGGAACGACGAACGACCACGTGACCACATCTAGTAGTAAGACAACTCCATTTTCTTATGGTGCATTTGTTGCAGGTATCCAACGTATTACAGAATGCAAAACATCTTGTGAAGTTGTGATTGCAATTTTTAAAATCTCAATATCTTGCTTCCACGTTCATGTTGCATGGAAGTAAAAGTAGTAACATAGTGACTGTCTTTATGAATCTGTTCATTCTAGGAAACGAAAAGTCGATAACTTTAGTGAGAGTTAATTTATAGAAAGTAGTGCAAGGCTGCATGCTCATGGCTTTCTTTTGATGTATTTAAAATATGCATAATATTGGTTTTTATGTCATCTCTGAAGACCGAAATATGGAGTTTGTACTGTGTATTGCCGCCAAGTAAATATTCCAGACAGTGCATGTATCGTGCATATATAGATGTACAAAAGATGCTTGAATAGAGTTAAGAATTTGACAATGACCTTCGCTGACATTAGACTAAAACATAATGAATCAGGCCAAGGCTTATAACATTAAATACTTTATGGTGAAGACAAAAGCTCAAAGATAAACGTAACTATTGCTGATTGATATGCCACTCAAATGATACTATCTATAGTATCATATAATTGTGGAAACTCAAGTTTCAACCTTTCTTCTATTCGACCATTTTAGATTCAATACAACTTAATTGTGTGAAGAATTAACATCTATCAAAATGTACTTACTGTTTTTTTAAGTAAATACATGTGCACATTATACTCAGACTAACCTTCCTTTCGTAGTAGGTGCAAGTCAATTGCAAAGTAGTGACAGTATCTTCTGTAAACTTCAAGTGAGAGTGACAGGATGATTGCTACGAGACTGATCTGCGCACTTTAAAACTCTTTCCTATTATATGAGGATTGTTCATTGAGATTTTGCTTAAAAAGTTGTAGTCGAAACAAGATAAAAGATCATTTTAATATCACATTAATGCCTATACTACATCTGTTGTTTATGAAAGCAAAATAAATATGAAAATGAGCAAATCCTTTTCTCCTGAGGCTGAAATTATTACGTTTTACATAAACTATGCAATACGACTTGTGTTAGGACACGTTATATATGCAGCCTGTTAAAACATGATATTGTACACATGCAATTCAATTTACCAATTTGTCTACAGTGTAAGGTAAACGTTTCTTGTACGTAATGGTAGTAATGCACTCGGTTTAGAATCATCAAAATAATACTAGTTGA